AGCTATCGATAATACGAGATTATAAAAAATCTTTGCAAGCAGCTAAGCAAAAGAGCGTCTTTTTAACGGTATAAATCAAAGAACACCGAGCTATTTATAAGTTAGCGAAAATAAACAATCTTTACGAAACGACGAATACACTCGCGATAAAAGCATTTTTAAAAGCTATTAGCGAAAAATAATTATTAACTTAAGCGTCGTTAAAGCTCGCAAAAGTCATTCGAAACGACGAGCTATTATTACTTTAAAAGCGCACTTTTTACGATTACTTTAATTAATACGAAAGCTAAGTCGAAAAGAAGATTAATAATCTAAACTTTAACTTCTTTAGCGTATTCGCTACTTTCGAAGATCAAATTACTCGTAGCATTTTCGGAAGTAATAAAGCTAACGACACTGCTTTTAAGTAGTTTAATAAACGCTTCGATAGCTTTAAAAGACTTGCTAAAGGTTTTAAGTGCTCGTGCTTTAAAAAAAGAAATTACTATTAAAACGCAATCAAGTATAAGATCCTTCGCTATTGCTTTAACGGTTTTAACGAAAGTAGATTCGCAAAGCCGAATCGAAATAATATCGTCGTTATAAAAAAAAAGCTATAAGAGCTTAAGTTTAAAGCGCTTTAAAAAGAGATCACGAAGAAAGATTAAGTATAAATTCAAGTCGATAAGATCGTCTTAAAAAGCAAAAAAAAGTAATCGAATAATAGCGATAAATTAAAATACTTTAAAAAAGTGTTAATAATTATTATCGATTTCGAGCTTTTTAATACGCTCGATAATTTTATTTTTAACGGTCTTTATAGCACGGCTAATAATAAGCACTAGCTATTTAATAATATTTTTCTCGATAATTGCGGCGCTACTTATTTTATTAACGATAAAAATCTTTTAAAGCTAAAGTTAATTTAACGCTTTCGCTTAACCGACTTTATCGAAGCTAAAACGAATAGTCTTTTAGTCGTCGAGCGAAGTACTAAAGTCTTTAAAAGAGCTTTAAACGGATTAAATAAAGTTAAGACGAAGGATTTGAAGTTAAAAAACGTCGTTATCGTTAAAAGGTTTAATATTAATATTATCTCGAAAGCTCTTTTAAGCAAAGCTAGCGTATAGTACTCGAGATATAACGTAACTTTTCGTTACGAAGAAGTTAAAAAGAGCGTCGTATTAAGAAAGTTAAAAAAGAAGTTTAATCTTACGTTTTTTAAATATAAGCTATTTAATTATTTTTTGCTTTAATTGATTCGTAGCTTTTTTTGCTTAATAATATTCTTTACAACTTAAAAGCGCTTGCAAATACGTTATAAATTTTAAAAGAGCAGTATTTTCCGAGCTTTAAAAGAAGATTCATCGGTACTTTAGCATTTACGAATAAGTCATTTAAGCAAAGAAGCGCTCGAAGCGCTAGCTTATAATGTTAAAGAAATAAGACTTAAAAGAATCATTAAAGTTAAATGTAAAGCATGTGTTATTACGCACGCTTAACAAGTCATATCTCGCCGTACGTTAAATAATAAAGCAGTTAAGCTATTTTATAAGATCGCTTAAGATCTATTCGACTTTCTTAACGATTTTAACGAAAGCAAATAATTATTAATAATTAAAGATAAATATAATAAGAAGCTATTCGGCTTTATATTAAAAGATAAGTTGTAATTAACGGTTATAAAAGTATTAAAAGAATTTAAAATATAAACGAAACGCAAATACGATCTTTTAATAGCTATTATACGTTATAATAACGATTCTTCGGTAATCGCAATTAACGTTATCGGCTTTATCGAATATTAAAAATAAGCGAAAGAGATTAAGATCGAGTTAAAGCTTTTATTATCTTTTAATTACGAACTTAATAAAAGAGCCGAGAAAGCTAAAAGAAAAGTGATAAAACGGTCTATTAAAATAAAAGTAAAAACAAAGCTTTTAAAAAAGCTTTGGCTTGAAATTATATTAGCCGTTATTTACTTTTACAATATAATACCGAAAGCGAAGAGCTTTATAAAGAGTCCGAATAAAGTGCTATAGCTTTAGTTCAAGCAATATTTTAAGTAGTACGATCCGGCGATCTTTATACGGATCGACACCGACTTAAGATTAAATTATAACGGTTTGGTTACGTATAGCGCTCGTGCGTACTTAATAATTAAAGACCGAAAAGCTTTTCGTAATAAAAAAGCTTTTAAAGTCAAACTAAAAGGATATATAAGCTATTTAGTTGAATATATAGCTTTTAATATATATAAGGTCTATGTTTTTGTGCTTTATAAAGTGATTGTTATACGTAACGTAACGTTCGATAAGACTTAATTTTATTTTAAAAACGAGAAAAAATCGGTCGGCTAATCGATTAGCGAGATCAAGAGTATCGTTATTAAACTAAAAGATATTAAAGACTTTAGTTAAACAAAGAACGCTTTGTTTAATATAAAGAACGTTGTAAAAGATCGCTTAAAAAAGACGAATGCAGCTGATATAAAAGGTGACTAGCCGTTAGACCTTATAAAAGTTGATTTAAAAGGATTTAGTTAAAGCTTAAAGAATGCGACTTTATTTAATCCGAGCGATGCATAAACGTTAAGAGCTTTAACTTTAATTAAAGACTTTATAAATACGTTTATATTAAAAGCAATTGCTTTACGAAACGATTTAATAGATCTTAACGATTCGAACTATACTATTGAACGTCTCGCTAGCTTTTTAGTTAAGAGCAAAGGCGAAGGTGCTTTAAGACTGCTAAAAGCAAAAAGAAGCATCGTAAACGAGCAAAAACTTGGCTTTAATAAAAGAGCGCGTATATTATACTTTTAAATTATTATTTAAAGCCGGGGCTCGAAAAGCTAAGCTATAAGCCGACTAACGAGAGCTTTTATATTAACAACCGGCGGAGATTTAAACCGAACAATCAAAAAAAAGCTTTTAGACTTTTTTAAAGCGAGTATTAATAATAAGAAATTAAATTATAAACACTTTAAATAAAATTCCGACTTTAATAAAGAGCACTTACTTATTAATAGCCGCATTAGAAAACGCGCGAGGATATACGCAAGTATTAATAAGCTTTTTTTAAATAACTTTCGCGCTGATTCGAACCGTTATTCGCGCGTTTTAAATTTTGTATCGACTTTTTAAGTTAATAGCGAACTCGTACGCGAAGATAATAAAGATTACGAGATATTGCACGCTATTATAGCAGCTGCTATCTCGTTTAAGTTATTATTAAAATAGCTTAACTCGCAAAAACGAAAACATTTAAAACCTTTTACTTATTAAAAAAAGCTATAACGATACTTATACGGTAAAAAGTTTAAGGACGAAGCTTTTATAAAGCTAAATAATTTAAAAAAGAAGAACTATTAAAAAGTGATTCTCGAAAGCGAAGCTAAGTTAAAACTTATACTTTTTAAGTAAGTGTTTATATATAAGACTAGCTCGTTCGAAGAGATCGTAAGGTTCAGATCGAGAATTGTTATTAAAAGTGACTTTTAAGACGAATTTATTATTTATTTAACTTACGCGGCTACGCTAATAGTTAAATCTTTTAAGATCATAATAGTTATAATAGCCGAATTTGATTTAAAAGTAAAACAATTCGATATCGTTAACGCTTTTATTAACGTTATAAGATATACGGATAACGTCTTAATTACGTATTATTTTTTTAACGGTTTTAAGCAAAAAAGTATACTCGTAAAAGTCGATAAAGCTTTATATAAACTTAAAGACTCGTTAGCTTTATAATATTTCGACTTTATAAGCATACTCGATAAATTAAAGCTTATACTATTCGATAAAGAACCGTGTATTTTTACGAATTTAAACAAGACGGTTTTTATAGCGTTTTACGTAAACGATATTCAACTTATATATTATTATTTTAATCTTTTTAAAGCGCAAGAGATTATTAACGGTCTTAATAAAGCGTATAAAATCGAAGCGATAAAAGATATTAAATAGTTTTTTAATATAAAAGTCGCTCGAGACCGTTAGCGAAAAACGCTAACGCTTATGCACGACGCTTATATTAAAAAAAAAATTAAGAAATTCGAACTTACGAACGAACGTTGTTTAACAACTTTATTATCGTTTTATAATTTAGTTAAGAATAAAAAGATAGCTTCGCAAAAGCAAGTGAAAGAATATTAAAAGAAAGTTGGATTCGTATTATATATAACGATCATGCTACGCTTAGATATAGCTTTTGCAGCTTCTTAACTCTTTTACTTTAATATTAATTTAAGCGCGGAGCACTTCCGAGCTGTAAACTAATGTTTGCGATATTTATTTAGCTCGCGCTTTAAAAGTATTTAATATAGCTAGTTTAGCAAATCAAAGCTAATAATAGCTTTTGACCCTTTTTACGCCGATGACGAAAAGATAAAGCGATCTTTTTAAAAGTATATTATGTTTTTGTTCGGAAGTGCGATCTTTTAAAAAGCTTTAAAGCAAGATACAATTATTATATTATCTATTAAAACAGAGCTTTTTAATATAACCTTTATAATAAAAGAGATTATAACGCTTTAACGGTTTTTTAAAAAGCTGTACTTTCGTTTTGCGGCGCTTTAAATAGTTTATTATAATAATCAATAAACAATCAAGCTTATAACTAATAAAAAAGAGCGTATCTTTATTAAGCTTTGCTACGTCGATATTTATAATATATAGCTGCGTTAAAAGCACTTTAAAAAAAGCTTTCAAGTTTAATATCTTTTTATTAAAAAGATGTACGCTAACGGTCTTACAAAGAACTTGATTCGATAAAAGTTTAAAAGCTTTATTAAGCTTTTAAATTTACAAAACGCTCGCGCGTTAATTGAAAAGCTTTAATAGCACGCATATGCTATTTACTTATTACATTTTATTTTTTTTCATTTGCACGTGATTTAAAAGAAAACATTTATTTAATAATCTTAATCGTTATTTTATTTTATTTTATACGCTTTTACTTTTCGCTTTTTATAATAAAAGATCGACTAAAGCTCTTAATAATCTTTTTACTTTAGCTTAGCGCTTCGCAAAAGTTATAGCAACGGCGGGCGCCGCCGCGAAAGCGGCAAGCGCAACGATTAACGTAAAAAAAGCGACGATAATAAGTGCGACGGAAGCGACGGTAGCTGCGAGGGCGACGAAAATAACGAAAGCGACGAAAGCAATAAGAGCGGTTAACGCAAGCGCAAGGGCTGCTATAGCAGCAGATTAAAGCTTTTGTATAAAGTCCGAAAGGAATTCTAGTTAAAAAGAGCTACTTAGATTAGATCATTTCGTAAGTTAAAAAGCTTGATTTACGAAAAAGTGATATGCTCGAAGCGCTCCGCGTCACCGGACCACGGTTCGCTGCTATAAGACTATTTAATTTAATAAAGGCTATATTCAAATTAAAAGTCTTAAAAGCAAAAGCAAAACTTATAAAGCTACCGGGATTATTTCTAAAACTTTTACTTCTACTCGCTAAACCGCTCGGACTATTAGCAGCACTTTTTAAAAAAGCAATATTTAAAGCGAGCTATTATCGCATAATATCTCGAAGACTTTAGCGAACTCTTTGTATAATACTATTATCTTTAGCGTTTACGAAGTTATCGAAAGCGGTGTTAGCAGCGGCAAAAGCAACGGTGCAATTGCTATAGCTACTTTTAATATACCGGAGATAGCGAATAACGCTCGTATCGTAATTGTAGCAGTCTTTATTAGACTTCGATATGATTTTATTATTAATGCACTTAATGCACTTTAAAGCTTTAACGGTCGTTAGTATAAGCAAGCGCTTAATAAAAAGGTTTAAAAGAAAGAGCGAAGCTTCGAAAGTGAAAGTGCGTAGTATAACCGCTGTAGTCGCCGCAGCTATAGCAGCAGCAATAGCTAAAGTAAAGAAAGGATTCTTTTAATAATTAATATAAATATATTAATTTGTTAAAAGCACTTACTTTTAAACGGCTTCGACCGCGCTTAACGATTCTATTAAATTAAATTACTTGCTTAAAAAGCATTATGTAAATAAATAAAGGTTAAGTGTTTATTATAATAGAAAAGAACGCGCTTTTACTTATATAGCAACGCGACAAAAACGGCGCTAAAGACTTTCGCTACGTAATAAAACCGACTTAAAAAAGAATTGCATTCTTAATTGACACTTAATTAATAATAACAACCGCTATTTATTTGTTTAAATTACGATGATAATCTTTTTTGTTTATATTAAGTTTAAAAAGCTTAATTATTTATTTTTTTCTTTTTTGTTTGCTTGCAATTTAGCAGCTACGTTATTAACTTAAAAGATGTGTTATGCAGAACAAGCATAGTTCTACTTAAGCTATATGTAATATATTATATGACTTCGCTTAATAGCGCTTTTAGCATACTAGAGCTCTTAAGTACATGTATATAGATCTTGACGAGCTTTTTAAATAGAATATACTAAGCTTTATTCAATTTACAGAATCTCTTCTTGATCTTAGTGCTAGTAAGCACTACAATTCGTAGCTTCTTTTGCTTAATGATATTCTTTATAACTTAAAAGCGCTTGCAAACACGTTATAAATTTTAAAAGAGTAATGTCTTTTAAGCTTTAAAAAAAGATTCATCGATACTTTAGCATTTACGAATAAGTTATTTAAGCAAAGAAGCGCTCGAAGCGCTAGCTTATAACGTTAAAGAAGTAAAACTTAAAAGAATTATTAAAGTTAAATGTAAAGTATATATAATTACGCACGCTTAACAAGTTATATTTCGCCGTACGTTAAATAATAAAGCAGCTAAGCTATTCTATAAGATCGCTTAAGATTTATTTAATTTTTTTAACGGTTTCGACGAAAGTAAATAGTTATTAATAATTAAAAATGAATATAATAAAAAGCTATTCGGCTTTATATTAAAAGACAAGTTGCAATTAACAGTTATAAAAGTACTAAAAGAATTTAAAGTATAAACGAGACGCAAATACGGTTTTTTAATAGCTGTTATACGCTATAATAACGATTCTTTAATAATCGTAATCAATTTTATTAGCTTTATCGAATATCAAAGATAAGCGAAAAAAGTTAAGATCGAGTTAAAGCTTTTATTATCTTTTAATTACGAACTTAATAAAAGAGCTAAAAGGGCTAAAAGAGAAGTGATAGAACGGTTTATTAAAATAAAAGTAAAAGCAAAGCTCTTAAAAAAGCTTTAGCTTAAGACTATATTAGCCGCTATCTACTTTTATAATATAATATCGAAAGCGAAGAGTTTTATAAAAAGTCCGAATAAAATGCTATAGCTTTAGTTTAAGCAATATTTTAAGTAATACGATCCGGCGATCTTTATACGGATCGACATCGATTTAAAACTAGATTATAACGGTTTAATTGCGTATAGCGCTCGTGCGTACTTAATAATCAAAGACCGAGAAGCTTTTCGTAATAAAAAAGCTTTTAAAATCAAACCGAAAAGATATATAAGCTATTTAATTAAATATATAGCTTTTAATATATATAAAGTCTATGTTCTTATGTTTTATAAAGTGATTGTTATACGCAACGTAACGTTCGATAAGACTTAATTCTATCTTAAAGACGAAGAAAAATCGGTCGGCTAATCGATTAACGAGATTAAGAGCATCGTTATTAAATTAAAGCATATTAAAGACTTTAATCAAACAAAAGACGCTTTATTTGATATAAAAAACGTTGCAAAAGATCGCTTAAAAGAAATAAATGCAGCTAATATAAAAAATAAACAGCCGTTAGACTTTATAAAAGTTAACTTAAAAAGATTTAATCAAAGCTTAAAGAATACGACCTTATTTAATCCGAGCGATATATAAACGTCAAAAGCTTTTACTTTAATTAAAAACCTTATAAATACGTTTATATTAAAAGCAATTGCTTTACGAAACGATTTAATAGACTTTAACGATTCGAATTACACCGCTAAACGTTTCGCTAGCTCTTTAATTAAAAGCAAGAGCGAAAGTGCTTTAAGATTGCTAAAAGCAAAAAAGAGCACCGTATATAAACAAAAACTTAGCTTTAATAAAAGAGCGCGCAAATTATACTTTTAAATTGTTATTTAAAGCCGAAGCTCGAAAAGCTAAGCTATAAGCCGACTAACGAAAGCTTTTACGTTAACAACCGGCGGAAATTCAAATCGAACAATTAAAAAAAAGCTTTTAAACCTTTTTAAAGCGAGCATTAATAATAAGAAATTAAATTATAAACACTTTAAATAAAATTCCGACTTTAATAAAGAGCATTTACTTATTAATAGCTGTATTAAAAAACGCGCGAGAATATACGCAAGTGTTAATAAGCTTTTATTAAACAACTTTCGCGCCGATTCGAACTGTTATTCGCGCGTTTTAGATTTTATATCGACTTTTTAAGCTAATAGCGAATCCGTGCGCGAAGATAGCAAAGATTACGAAACATTACACGCTATTATAGCAACTGCTACTTCGTTTAAGCTATTATTAAAATAGCTTTACCCGTAAAAACGAAAACATTTAAAACTTTTTACTTATTAAAAAAAGCTATAATAGCATTTATACGGCAAAGAGTTTATAAACGGAGCTTTTATAAAACTGAATAATCTAAAGAAAAAGAACTATTAAAGAGTGATTCTCGAGAGCGAAGCTAAGTTAAAACTTATACTTTTTAAATAAATGTTTATATATAAGACTAGCTCGTTTAAAAAGATCGTAAAGTTTAGATCGAAGATTATAATTAAAAGCGACCTTTAAAACGAATTTATTATCTATTCAACTTACGCTGCTACGCTAGCAGCTAAATCGTTTAAGATAATAATAACTATAATAATCGAATTTAATTTAAAAATAAAATAGTTCGACGTCGTTAACGCTTTTATTAACGCTATAAGACATACGGATAGCGTTTTAATTACGTGTTATCTTTTTAACGGTTTTAAGTAGAAAGATATGCTCGTAAAGGTCGATAAAGTTTTATATAGACTTAAAGACTCGCTAACTTTATAGTATTTCGATTTCACAAGTACACTCGATAAATTAAAGCTTATACTACTTAATAAAGAACCGTGTATTTTTACGAATCTAAATAAAACGGTCTTTATAGCGTTTTACGTAAACGATATTCAAGTTATATATTATCATTTTAATCTTTTTAAAGCGTAAAAGATCATTAACGGTCTTAATAAAGCGTATAAGATCGAAGCGATAAAAGATATTAAATAGTTTTTTAATATAAAAGTCGCTCGAAACCGTTAGCGAAAAACGCTAACGCTTATGCACAACGCTTATATTGAAAAAATAACTAAGAAATTCGAACTTACGAACGGACGCTGCTTAACAATTCTATTACCGTTTTATAACTTAATTAAAAATAAAAAGATAGTTTCGCGGAAGCAAGTGAAAGAGTATTAAAAGAAGGTTAGATCCGTATTATATATAGCGATTATACTACGCTTAGATATAGCTTTTATAGCTTTTCAACTCTTGTACTTTAGTATTAATTTAAGCGCGGAGCACCTTCGAGCTATAAACTAGTATTTGCGATATCTATTTAGCTCGCGCTTTAAAAGTATTCAATACAGCTAGTTCAGCAAGTCGGAGTTAATAATAGCTTTTAACGCTTTTTACGTCGATAACGAAAAGATAAAGCGATCTTTTTAAAAGTATATTATGTTTTTATTCGAAGGTACGATCTTTTAAAAAGCTTTAAAGCAAGATACAATTATTATATTATTTATTAAAGCGGAGCTTTTTAGCATGGCCTTTATAATAAAAGAGACTATAGCGCTTTAACGATTTTTTAAAAAGCTATACTTTCGTTTTGCGGCGCTTTAAGTAGTTTATTATAATAATTAATAAATTATCAAGCTTATAGCTAATAAAAAAGAGCGCATCTTTATTAAGCTTCGCTACGTCGACATTTATAATATGTGACTACGCTAAGAGCACTTTAAAAAAAGCTTTTAAGTTTAATATCTTTTTATTAATAAGATGCACGCTAACGGTCTTATAAAGAACTTGACTCGATAAAAGTTTAAAAGCTTTATTAAGCTTTTAAATTTATAAGACGCTCGCGCGTTTATCGAAAAGCTTTAATAGTACGCATATGCTATTCATTTATTATATTTCATTTTTTTTATTTATACGTAATTTAAAAGAAAATATCTATTTAGCAATTATAGCCGTCATTCTATCTTATCTTATACGCTTTTACTTTTCGCTTTTTATAATAAAAGATTAACTAAAGCTCTTAGCAATCTCTTTATTTTAGCTCGACGCTTCGCAAGAGTTATAATAACGGCGAGCGCCGCCGCGAAAGCGGCAAGCGCAATAACTAGCGCAAAAAAAGCGACGACGACGAAAGCTGCGAAAGCGACGAGAGTAATAAAAGCGGTTAGCGCAAGCGCAAGAGCTGCTATAGCAGCAGATTAAAGCTTTTATATAAAGTCCGAAAAGAAGTTTTAATTAAAAAGAGTTATTTAAATTAAATTATTTCGGAAGTTAAAAAGCTTAACTTACGAAAAGGTGATATGCTTAAAGCGCTCCGCGTCACCGGACCACGGTTCGCTGTTATAAGACTATTTAATCTAATAAAGGCTATATTTAAATTAAAGGTCTTAAGAGCAAAAGCAAAACTTATAAAGCTATCGAGATTACTTTTAAAACTTTTACTTCTACTTGCTAGACCGCTCGGACTATTAACAGCACTTTTTAAAAAGGCAGTATTTAAAGCGAGCTATTATCGCATAGCATCTCGAAGACTTCGGCGAACTTTTTATATAACATTATTATCTTTAGCGCTTACGAAGTTATCGAAAGCGGTGTTAGTAGCGGTAAAAGCAGCGGTGCAATTGCTATAGCTACTTTTAGCATATTAAAGATAGCGTATAACGTTCGTATCGCAATTATAATAATCTTTATTAAATCTCGATGTGATTTTATTATTAATACACTTAATGCACTTTAAAGCTTTAACGGTCGTTAACATAAGCAAGCGCTTAATAAGAAAGTCTAAAAGAAAGGGCGAAGCTTTAAAAGTAAGAGTGCGTAGTATAGCCGCCGCAGCCGCCGCAGCTATAGTAGCAGCAATAATTAAAGCAAAAAGAAGATTCTCTTAATAGTTAGCATAAATATATTAATTTATTAAGAGCACTTATTTTTAAACGGCTTCGGCCGCGCTTAACGATTCTATTAGATTAAGTTACTTGCTTAAAAAGCATTGTATAAATAGATAAAAGTTGAGTATTTATTATAATAAAAACAGACGCGCTTTTACTTATATAGCAACGCGATAAAGACGGCGCTAAAGACTTCCGCTACGTAATAAAACCGACTT